GAGGATGGATTTGGATTTTCAATGGGCGACATTTACTTAAAAGAATATATAGAGGATCGAGGGAAATGGATGGTTGGGAAAGAAAGGGTCAAATAAATCACAAGTCTTCATTCAATATTAAATCACCCAGGGACAAAACATTTGTGGGGTTACGTAGTTGTTGGTTAGATTCCAGTGCTTCGTGGAGTGTTCCAACACTTCCTCTGCAAGGTTAGGTCACATTGTATTTTGTACAAACGGGGAACGAGTTTAGGCTAAAACGGTGAACTTAGGATACCTCAAATAAATACTTTTAAGCGTGGAGCATTTTCAAGGGCGTAACCAGTTTTCTTATCTTACCTGACCACCCTCCATTTACTCATTGAAACACACCACTGCCCTTCCATAAACATTTAATTTTTTTTAAAAAAATCAATTGAAAATCCATGTGTGATATACCACAAACACGGTCACTGCACTTCACAGTATGTCCTGTGAAGCACTTTGGGAGGTCCTCCTGACCTATCACAGAAGGCGCTCCACCAAATGTGAGCATTATTTTATTATATGGTTCTATGGTTCAATACAGGAGTCAATCCTAGGAACTTGGTATCCAGCTCTTGCGCTGGGTTTCACCTCTGGTTGAATTTTACCCATCATCTTCTCCGCCACCAGATGGAGTACTGCATAGTCTAACCCAGGCACAATGAAGAGTGGGGAAAAGGAGGGAATGGGAAAAAAAATTACATTTGTATAGTGCATTTCACGTCGGGATGATGCCCCAAGGCGCTGGACAGTCAAGGATTTGGGGGTTGGAATCGGGGAGTTGGAAGGTAGGGAGGGTAGGGTTAGGAGGGTGACTGAAGGTATGGTCGAGGAGGGTCTCAAGACGGGCTTTAAGGGAGGCAAGGGAGGGGGTGAGGTGAAGGGACTTTGGGATGGAGTTCCAAAGGCTGGGGGCAGAGAGATTGAAGATCTGACCGCCAATAGATTGTGGATTCCTCACTAAAGTGCACATAACAAGGAGTTGCCAATGCAACACGAACGGTGCAGGTTTGTTGCTGTGACCAGTTTTGTTCCTGAGTGGGGAGGAGGGGGGAAGAGAGAAAAGAGAGGTAGAAGCAAGAAAATAGTTTATATAATACTACAAATTAATTTTATATTGAGATTGTTTAAAAATGCAAAGTTTGCTGCCAATACTTTTTTTAATAATAAATATGCATTTTGAAAAGGATTCTGTCCCTTTAAGAAGCCTAAGCGTTTTGTATTTGTTATTTGACCCTTTTTCAAAGGTTTTAGTTTTAGTTGCGCGTAAAGATTTATAGAATTGCCGCAAAAAAAANTTTTACAACTAAAATGACAATCACTCAATGGGCTCCCACTGTTCTTTTGATCAACATTGAAAAAGACATTGTAGAATCATCAAAGTTTCAGAATAGTTTAATGTTGTTTACACCAGGAACATTGGCAACACATTTAAATGTCAATTCCTCGTGTGCAAAATAAAATAGCAAATCAGATATACAATTATCACCTGTGATATTTCTCTGAAATCTTTACCTGAACAGAAATAGTAATGGTCTTTCTTTAATGTTATAGCGGAAGTGTATGTACCTTCCAAAACAGCAGCCAAAAATCACCCCCTTCTCCCACAAATCAAAGCCAATTGTACAGTTAAGCCTTTTTATATATATATAAAAAAACAAAATTCATGCAACAGTTGCCAAAGACTCAATGACACCTCATTTACAAATATACTATTTATAATGAATGCATTGACACACTGAAAACAAAAAAAATAAACAAAAACCCACAAGGTAATAGATATGACATACAACTGTTTTTTTTATTAAAAAAATGTTTTGTTGGCTGGTTTGTACACTCTTCTTTTGATGTGTGGATCTTATTTTAGTACCAAACAAAAATATTTTGTGCTGTCTGGTAAAAATCTTTCCTTTTTTTTAAAATAAAAGGAAAATGAAACTTAATATGAAACTAAATCTAGTCGATAATTGCACACAAACTGCTTGTTGATTAGTTAAACTGCATTCTTTATCAGCTAAAGAGATTGATACAGAGTACTCCAATGGAAAATAAGCCACTTGCTGTCTTGAAGGATATGTTTGCATAAAATGACGACTTCAATTTCACGTAGAGCGGAGCGCAACTAAAAATTAAGGAGTAAAAGTTGCAAAATAGATAGCCTGTCACTTGCCCTCAACATTAGTTTCCAACATTTAAACTTCGCCTGGGTCATACTAAGAATATCAAGAGTTATGCAGAAGTCACAGCAGCAAACTTCTTAGGGGGCCGTGAGTGGCAGCCCCCAAAACAGTTGGAGTCAGCTGCAAATGCAACCTTCTTCATACCGTCTGCTAAATACATTAATGCCCATGATATGGCCTTGAGGGGAGATATTGTCTGGAACGCAAATTTAGCCCTGCAGAAATTAAGAGTCGATTTGATAACAATCCTTGCATTTGATATAGTGCCTCATCACGTCTTCGAGACGTTTCAAAGCGCTTCACAGGATTACAATGGAAAGTGTATTGACTGCATTTTGTGGGCGAAATTTTGCTGCTGATAAGATGCAGCAGTATTTTCTGTGTGTGTCTAGATATGAGAAGGTGCGATATTTGTTAACAAGAGCTGGGGCAAATCACTTCTGGTTATACATACTGTACAGGCAATGGCTGGAATTGCATCGTACACTTTCACCAGGACCAATGAAGCATTGGGACAGCTGCGATTTACCATTTATAAAGAAGTCATGCACTTTTTTTTACAGTTTTGAGAATGATTTCATTGTCTTCCAATGTAACAAATGGCCTCAAAATTTATCTACACGTTGCACCAATTGTGTGGCTTTCAAAGGACATGAATTTAGCTCCATCCCATTACACTACAATTCAAAAAGCATTATCCCCCCTCCCCCATTATTACACTTATCAACGAGAGATAATATAAAGCATGAAACTATATAGTGCCCCATTGCCACAGTTTCAGGAGTCCAAAAATATTATACTGATTAATAAATACCATAATGCCTTTTTAAAGACTCCCCCACACCCCCCCAAAAAAAAAACATTTACAAATAAATTCAACTATGTGGCTTTAAAGTGGAAAGAAAGGGAGTACAGTACTGTGCAAATGTTTTAAGAAAATACTAGTGAGCGAGCAGAGATAGCGAATACTGAGATTTCAAAACATCACTGTGTGTTTGTATGGGTCAAAAATAGGTCTTGCTTTCTTTTAATACCAGAAGCACAAAGTTTTTGTTAGGGCTCATCACAGAATTTGACAGGCGCTAAACATTTTGTGTTGTTACTAACTTTGATGCTTAAATGCCGATCATGCTCTTTTCTATACACTATAGCAAGGAAAACATAGGATGAGACAGCACTGAAAAAAAATCTAAACCAGAGACATTGGTTCTGAACACAATTTTTCTACAGACTTTTAGAAAAACAGGAAAAATAACTGACGTGTCACACTGGGTCTCCGATAGCTTGATGTGCCATTAAAACAATACAAATAACACCCTACAGTTCATACACTGGAATAAACACCACAGTTATACACCAAATGCAATTTTGTACTAATCCAATGCAATTAACATACTTTTAAGGTGTACAGACAATTAGATGGATTTCTCTAAAAATCTATTAACTGCAGGATTGTTGACCTACTGTTACTGACTTGTATTTCAGAAACGATGGCATCATTTGAATCGACCATGCCTGGGGTTTCATCTACTCTCAATAATATAATAATCCTTGCATTTGATATAGCGCTTTTCACGTCTTCCAGACATCTCAAAGCGCTTCACAGAATATACTGTAAAGTGAATTAACTGTATATTTTTTGGCAAAATGCGGCAGCCAATTGCCCACAAACAGTTGTGGATTGAAGTGACCAATTTATTTATTTTTTCTTGAGGAATTATTATCAGGCGTGTGGAGTAAAGAAACTTGCCCAAGGTTTCGCCCTGCTGGGAGTCAAACCCAGGTCTCTTGCTTGCGAGGTGAGTGCTCTAACCGCTGAGCTACAGGACTCCAATGCAAGTTTGTGAACAGGTTAGTGAAGCAACCTGCCTTTCTACTTAGGAACAACAATCAATTTAGTCACTGTTGGACCACTGGTTTTACCAAAGGCTAAGGTAGCATCAAAGTGTATGGATTACGTATATACATTTTTTGCACATTTTAATTAGGTTAATTGTCATTTCTACCTTGAGGCTCGTCGCCGCTGGGATTGTTTTTCCAAGGCAGAACTGTAAGGGCCTATAAACGCACTTGATTCAAGCTGGATATCAGCTTCTTAAACAAGGATAATTCAGAGGTATAACATAACAACACGATCACAGCAACAGAAAACAACATAATTTTACAAGATAATTGTAATTGAAAGTTACAACCAACTTCATGGCAATGTTGAAACCCAACAAATTATCCCATCGCTTCCTGCAGGACAGTACAGTACAATCCAATCTCTCGTAAAGAGGTGGGACGACACAGTAATATGTTAACCTCGGCAATATGATTACAGCATCCGTTAGCATGCAACTTTGAACTTGATATCGGTTGACCGACGGATGCTGATGAACTTAAATCGATTGCAAATTTAAGGACAAATGACTGCCAATTCATAAAAGAGCATCCTATCACCTGGGAGACAATAGAAGTGGTATTTCATTTCAGTGCAACTTCTGAGTTTTTGATAATTTTTTTGTGAAGGGTGGGTAAAAATGATAAAATTGCATTTTTATTTTACAGGGAAAAAAACGTAGCCAGTGAAATTCAAGCCTTCAGAATGCAGCATTATTTCTGGTTAGAGAATTGCACATCATATGATGCTATGTTAGCCTTCTGTACTCCTGTATCCCCCAAAAAATGACTGCATGCAATGATATGCACAGACGTTAACTCCTCAAAGACAAAGTGCGTAGAAAGGCATAACCATTTCAGAGAGAGGACGGGGGAGAGAGGGAGAGAAAAAAACATTCTTCTGATGAACACTGGACAGTTTTTTTTGTTATATTAATAGTAAGCATTTCTTCATTTATAGAGCATTTCCTAACAAATGATCATAACCCTTACCATGGTTTCACTGGACATTAAGAGACTGAAAGGAATTGTTCATACTCCCAATAGTCTCAAAACCTGTAAATATTTCAAAAACACACATGCATGCAGCAGTAGCAGCAGCAGCAGCAGCAGCAGCAAAAAACACAGTATGAAGAAAATCATGCTTCAATGCAGCATGAAGGGTTGGTAAAAATACTGAACCCCGGAATAACAAAGCAAACGTTTGATACAGGCCAACAGGCATGCTTGGAAAGAGTCGAAGAAAAAGGTTGTTGTGTCACAAGGCTTTGGAGTAACGGTACATATGTAATATATCCAGAGCCCCACAACAAACGGTCAAGACTTATTTTTTTTCCACAGGGAAGTATTACAAGTACTTGTTAATTGCTTCGCTACATTGACATCCCCCCACCCCCCACATACTCTTATTGGGTCACTGGGACAATTGTAGCTGAGTGCAAGAACGTTCCTTGATTGATTGCTCTCCAGTTCTGTAGCTGTTCATCTATTCTCACTGCAAGGGGAGAGGGAAGGGGTAAAATAGAAGTGGAATATAAACCACTTTGAAAGCCATATTGTTTTCACTAGAGACGCCACAATATAGGAGAACTATTAAGCAATGCACTACATGACCAGTATCCACATTATATGTACACCTGTCAGTTTCAACACTGTTGAAATCAATTGGCAAATCTCAGTGAGTGAGTAGGTATGGAAATTTTTTTGGAAATGACACAAATGTTTTGAGGGAAAAAAGTATTTACTCCCCAAAAACATTCAGGAAGTCTTTTTCAAAAATAGCGAAGACCTACGTGTGACAGAAACCTGTATAATGTTCTGCAGGTTCCTTTTTTTTTCCCTCTTTGGTTTTAAGTTTTGTTCTATCCCTTGACATACGTTCTTAAACTGTTCCCGTCATCTCCACCTATTTTCACCTCAGTTTCTCTTTGTTCCCACCTCCTGCCCACACCACACATACACTTCACCCTTTGATAAGTTTTTAGATTATTTATTAGACATTTAATAATGTTCGCCTAAGCTTTCCCTTTCCTCCTCGATTCCAATCAGTCTGGGAGAGGCAGAGCCGGAACACTTCAAGCCCTTTGCAATGATTTAGACCCTGGCTACAGAGAAAACAAAGGCTAAGGATTGGGCAGGTGCAAGGTAGCCAGCAGGAAAGGGGCAAGTGTGGGATAAGCATGTACATCTTGAGGCAAGGATTTCCCTGGTCCTACACTTGCCATTTTAAGCACAAGAAGATAATTATAAAGAAAATACTACGCTGTGTATTAAATACGCAGATAGTATCTCAAACGTGTACTATCAAAAACCATGCTTATGATTTCACAAGATAATCCCCCCACTCCCCACGCGCACGCACACACACAAAAACTGTACTGCTTACACTGACGTACACCCATTTAATTCTGTGAGGAAACCTCAATCCAGCACTTGAATTCTTTGCAGGTTTTTAAAAAATTCTAAATGGCTACGATTCCTCTATTAGCAGAAACACATACTGCAGTCTTAGTAAAATTGCTTTTATATATAATGACAATAATGCAATTTATATTTTGTACAGTGTATGCAACATCTTGACTCGGGTCAGACCATGGCTCGGTAAGGGCCTTGCATCTTCAGGAACTGGATGATGAAGGACGGGCCACCGGCTACAATCTGTGGAGGGAGGTGGCTGAGCGGGCAGTTCTCAATGCTCATGATGGACAGCTTGCTGCAGAGGGCCAGCTCAAAGGGAAGGCTGTGCAGGTTTGGGTTATCATTTAAATACAACTCCTCCAGATTTTCCAGTGTACCTGCAAAATACAAGGTGCTTAACTTACACTGAACAAAACCTCAATAATAATCCTGGCATTTTTTTTTATTAATTAAAATTGATTATTGTCAACATTGAATGCATCCTAAATTCCCCGAGTTACGCCACCAGTATTTATTTTAGTCACCAGACCCAAGACAAAATATGAGATCCCATGTACAGTAGAATCAAGCTTAAGGTGCAAAAACTTTCACTTTTCAAGTGCAAAGAATAAAGTTATTACCAGTCCCACACAGTCACCAGCATGACTTCTACAGTTGCCTTTTCATTTCAAGTCAAGGCAGGGAAGGAGGAAAATACATTGCACGACATAACCTTTCACATTTACTGTAAAAACAAGTCCAGTTCCAACCGCTACATAGAAACACACACATTATATATATATACACAAACTACGCAATACTGTAATCCAAATGCTGGCACTCAAAGAATGTGGTTACCACATATTCCAAGTTAAATAACCAATTAATTTGTTACCTCCATTTCAGAGTGCAAAAAAGCAGTAGCTTTTTAAGAGATGTATAGAAAAAGCATATTCCAAGCTTTAGAGGGTATTGCTTTTGATTGACTGCAGCAAATCTTTTCAATGTGTTTTTACAGTGGATTTCTATTGTGTGGTTACCTTTATTTATTTCAATGAAATCCATTTTAAGGCTCCTCGCAACATACAGGTGAGCATTGGGATCAGAAGGAAATAGCAAAACCAAAGCAGACAGACAAGTTGAACCAGTGATTAAAATGCAAAGTATTAGAGAGTACAAAGTTCCCCAAATATTCTATGGTTCCTCCAAGTAACCACTGGGAAATGGATCCTATATACAATGGAGCTTCATTATAGCCACGTGGTTGGGATATATAATTTCCCCAAACCCCCTTTATAATCAGCCTGAGCTGGTTTCAATGAGTGGGTAGGGCTGAGGACATTAAGCAGGCCAGTGCCCGCCGAGTGGGTGAGGAGCGAACAGGTCGGTAACGCTTTAATAGGTTGCAGATATGGGGGGGGGGGGGGGGGGGGGGAGAGAGAGCAAGACAGTGGAGTTAGCTTTGAGGAGTACAGTATATTAAGAAAAATAACTTACCGATCTCCTCAGGTAAATGAGTCAGTAAATTCTCTCCTAGGCCAAGGTGGGTCAGGCTGGTCAGGTGACCGATTCCCCTTGGAAGTGTGGTCAGCTGGTTGTTTGTCAGGACCAGTTTCTGTAAGAGAAAGGAGTATAATTTATAATAATAATATTATTAAAAACGCTGTGCTCGGAGGATACTTCAAAACATGTTTCAAGATCTCAATTTATACAGAGATCAATGAAATCAGTTCAATATATAACCTGTACAACCTCCTACAGTAACTGCTCAATATTTTCATCAGCTATCTCGCACAAAACGTTGGGTAAATTTCCATACGCCTTGCTTACCTAGCATAAGTCGATTGGCGGATCACTTTCCAGGGGTAATAAACCCTCTCAAAAAAATAATGATTTAGTCACTCAATCCACAACTGCTTGTGGGGCACTGCTGTGCACAATTGGCTGCCGCATTTCCCCCACAAAATATGCAGCCACTACCCTTTACAGTATATTCTGTGAAGCACTTTGAGACATCACGACGATGTGATAAGGCGCTATGTCAAATGAAAGGATTATTATCTTCAAAAGACAATAGCTTTGCTGCCTCTCTCAAACATCCCTATTCCTTCCAAGATTATGATATGAAAATTTAAGTTTGGTTATCAGTTTCCAATAGCATTAAGACTAGAGACAAGATCAAGTTGGTTTAGTATATCAGGCATTCAGTCCTGTGTTATGCAACTAAATAAGAGCTGAACTGTGTGCTCTACAATGGAACAAAGCCCCAGTTAGGGCAAATTCTGAACATTTTTTGAAGCTATTTTATTTCACTTTCAGTCGTAGGAGTTTAAAAAAAAAGCTTTGTAGTTAAAAGAAACTCCACGATAAGGAAAGAGGTACAACAGATACTCCAATGCATCAGGAGTACAACTCTCTCCCCTCCCATAAATTAAAAGCAAAAGAAATGCAAAACAAAACACCCCAGAAAAATCACGTTTGTCGACACTTACCACCTGACCAACTGTTTTTGTCTCTCTGTGAAAAGTCTCAATTACTGTGACAAGTTGGATTTCAGAGCAACAGAACTGAAAGTAAAATCCTGTCCCGTAAATGAAATATAAAGGGAAACGTTCAAATGCACCAGAAATCATAGGGCCTGAAATTAGGTTTGTCCGACTCTACTCTTCACCTACTGAATTAAAAATAATTCCCATCTATCTCTGGGATTTCCATGTGTAGGTGGATTGAATGAAATTCTCAGTTTGTTTTGAATAATCTTAAGCGCGGTGATGGATTTCCTCCAAAAAAATGCAATTTGCATATACACACACACAATACAGATCCAAACAATTTTTTTTTAAAAATATTTAATTAAATAATGCATTTTACTCAAACAGCTCATTTTTTTTAAAAGCTATTTTCATTTTCTGTCCGATTTGAAATATCAAACAGATGGGAGAACAAATTAATATTTACTGCCAGCAAAATCCCCTCTGATTATTATAAAGCTTTTCCGAGAATCGTTGTAACTAAGTACTTACCAGAAGAAATAAAATCACTTTATCTATCAACCACCGATGTACTTGCTCAGGGTGATAAAAAATGTTTCCATTTCATAAACCTCAATTACAAAGATTCTCACATTAATTATTTTTGGTCCTCGGAATAATAAGATGTGGTCTGTATATTCTTCACGTTTTTGGTTTGGTTTAACATTAAATTTTGAAAAAAATTTGATCAGACGACTTGAAATGCTGTTTGAATCAATCAGCAAGTTAAATAAGAACAGAATTACACATTTTGGTTTCCTTGTGTAACCATGAATGATCGACTTAAATGTGATAATTTTCTAAGTGAGAGCAATAGGCTATACTACACATATCCTTTATGTGGTCACAGATTAATAGAAAGCATTGTAAATATTCACTGTAAACAACTGCCTAGAAAGTCAAAATTAATCTTAGCAGACAAATCACTTTTAATTCTATGCTTTTTTTTAATAAAAACGAGACTTTAATGCAACTTTCACCAGGGTCATTAGAAAGATACGTATGATTGAGAAATCTAAAATTTCCATGCATTTTTCTATACACTTCCTTAGTAGGAAAATCTGAAGAGACACAAATGTCACTTAGTGGGATACCAACTTTGATATATTTTGGAAAAAAAGTAACGACATTTACTAAAGATTATCTATCACAATTAACAGATCCTATGGTTCAGTTACTTGGCATTTATTAAAGTAAGGCTGTGCCTTGTCAAATGAGAAAAAAGTGTAGACCTCTGTTGTATGAAATACATGGGATGTTTCAAAATATATTTAACTACGATAAGCAATTTAAAATTTCCAAGGTACATTGATCATCCTGATCAAAATGTCAAATGAAATACTTAAGCAAGTCAAGTCCTTCAGTTAAATATAACTCATCTCTGATACGATTCTCTGTATTGAGAACAAACGTTGATTAGATAAAAAATCAAGTCTAAATGTTCTAAGCACATACTGTACTTTAAAGGAAAAATAGCAACATTTCACTAACATAGATGGTCACATTCTACTTTTGTTGTTCAATTCATGTTTATAATATTCAGAAGTTTGTGTTAACCCTGTACCTTCTGAATTATCTTGCAGAAAATTAGTAAATCGCTGAGACAATAGTTTTCCTGACTTATATAACATTCTCAAGCGCTGATAGCACACAATCCAAATAAGACCTCAAGATTTACCATTAACGCTCCGACTATCTCCCTCTCACCTCGTTCAAGGTCCATCAAGACCTACCTCTTTGACCATGTATTTGGTCAACTTTGCCTTACCCACCCACCTCAGCTCAGATATCAAGCGTATTGTCAAGTGCCTTGAGTTGTCCTCTTGACCTGAAAGGCATTTTATAAATGTAAATTTGTATTGTCTAATGCAATTGCCTGATAAAGCCAAATCATTTCTATGATTTGCTTTGACAATTGGGATCATTTGGACTGATTCTATTTGCCAGCAGCAAGCCCTTTTGATTGAATCAACAAAGCAATCTCAGAAGGTTGTGTTTATGTCCTGAACCCAAGGAAAGGATGGTCGTTTACTATTAGGTCCCGTTCTAAACACTCACCTGTAGATCCTTAAGGTAAGCAATTTCATTTGGAAGAGATTCAAGCTTATTTTCTTCTAAGTCCAGCTCTCGCAGTTTTCTTAAGTGCCCAATGCCATGAGGCAATTTCCGCAGAAGGTTATTTGATAGTATCAGAACCTAGACACGAACCATTGGAATAGTTACTATACACGATTAAATTCAACTCCATTCCAAATCCTGCAAATAGCTTGCAACTGTATTTTTTTTCATACCAGTTTATTAGAAGTTGCAAGGAGAAGAAAGAACACTGCTGAAGAATTATACTGGAGGGAGTTTATTCTAAATCAGAAACCAGAACAAAAGTACTAATCAGTGCAGGTGGACTCAACTATTATTTGCGGATCAAAGCATCCAAGATAGGGAACCGCAAATCAAAGGCTAAGCAAAACTAGTTCCAATCACAATGGTGACAATAGATTAGCTTTTTCAGAGAAAGAATGGATTGGAAAGTATACAGGTACAGAAATAATTACCACCACTTCCCTTGCACGCCAATAAAATGGATGTCACCCGATTGCCAAAATTGACATTCCGACGTTTCAGATTATAATAATAATCCTTGCATTTGACATAGCACCTTATCACGTCTTCGAGACGTCTCAAAGTGCTTCACAGAATATACTGTAAAGTGAATTGACTTTATATTTTGGGAGCGAAACGCGACAGCCAATTGCGCACAGCAGCGTCCCACAAACAGTCGTGGATTGAGTGCCCAAATTACTGTTATCCAACGAGCACACTGCATGGGCCACTTTTTCACACCTGTCAGGGTACCTATGTAAGAGTAACTCATGTTCCTGTTCCTCACCTCTAATGAACCCAGTCCAGACACATCCTCTGGGATCTTTGTGAGCTGGTTAGTGGCAAGGTTTAGTTCCACCATGCTTATCCAGGTTCCAAAGTCCAATGGAAGTGAAGTTAGCTGATTGTCCTGAAACATCCAGAAATACAATTTATTTAACCATAACGCAAAATGGAAGCATTCCGAAAATAACACAAATGATGGATTAGACTAGTTTCACTTTTGAAACCATTCAAAGTAAATATCAAATCCACAAGCTTTTTGTTTTTAATACATGCTCTTCTAAGTTGTATATATCTGTAAGTTTCTGATACAAAAAACAAAATGTTTAACAATATTCAATAGGAGAAAATATTTTGGTAATGACATTTTCCTTCATTGATCAAAAAAAATTCCGATTTGACATTAAAATTACTTTAAAAAGCTACACAAATTGAAAGATTACAACTCTCCTTTTTAATAAGAACATGTTGACTTGGGGTGTGCTCTCTCTTCTGGCATAAAATAAATTCTAAAAATATTTTAAAAATCTCCAACAAAATACTGCCTCTGTAAACTGCTCTATTAGGTTGCTAGGGCGAAAGACATATATTCTATTAATAATATTATATTCTATTAATAATATTTCTATTATATTAATTATATTATATCTCAATCCCTGTTGAGCCAATTGCCACACTGAAAGTAAAACCCGTAAGTTACTTTATAAGAAACAAGCAGAAATAGTTAATGGGTGAATTGCAATAGTGCAAAAAATTAAAACGACTAGTTTAAGCATCTGCTTCTACAAGTAATAATAATAATAAATGAAAGAGCTCACTTTGCTTCTACCCAACTGCAATTTAAACAGAAATTTTCTTGTACTTTTTTGGATTCTTCTATCAGTTAGTAAAGGCAAGCTATATTTGGCAGGTCATCTCACATGAAGATACATTCTACATTTAGTAATGCATCTTGGAATGATGGTCAATGTGGTTTTAAACAGCAATCTTCATTAGATGGTTAATAGTGAGGTCAATAATCTTATCTTAAAGTGTTTTCTTTATAAATCGTTTGTAAGTCATACATAAACCTGAGTCCCATTCAGTTTTGGACCAAAAAACACTTAGATTTCTTTGCACTAGTCATATCTTATGAAGCAAATGATCTTAACTTGAAACTCTGCTAACGCACTTGCTGGCTGCACTGAATTGCAGGAAATGAAGACCCCACCCAACAACGCATGCACACTTACCGGCTGCATTTAAGTATGCATGCAAATCAGGCTCATTATCAAGTTTGTATATAATGTGACTTGCACAAGTTTGCTTGTAACTCATACTTTGCTCGAGTGATATGAAATGTTATGGCCCCAACTGATGTGACTTATGTGAGTTTTACTATTATACACACGGTGCAGAGAGGCCGCTGAATGAAATCAAATTCCACTGTGTAACCGTGAATTATGAATCTATGTAAACAGTCAGGCAAACGAGTCAAAGTAGAGCACAGCAGATTACAAATACCAGATTGCCAATAGCGTCCGTCTAATGCACATTTGAAATATGAGAAAATAAACTGAACTGCAAGTTATAGGACTGCATATTTAAAACATTGAAAGCATGAAGAAATTTTGAAGCTTTGGTCTGTTAAAATGTGTGCAATATTGTAACTTTCATCACAATACACAAAGCTCAATTGCTGAAGCCATTTGAATGAGTTGATTTCAATAGCAAATATAACATTAACATTCCCTACCATAATTGGGCACTAGAATCACGTACAGGGTTTGGGAATAGAACTTCCTTAAGCAGCTATACCCACCTTTTACTAAAACCTACCTTCATATTCAGCTTACTCAACACTTTAGCCCTGGAAAAGATTCCAAAGGGGATTTTATTGATGCGGTTGTGCTCCATATTAAGAGAGTAGATCGTTGAGAACTGTGAGGGTCCACCGACTGGATACGACTGGAAGCAATTCCGTGCTAAGGTTAAACTGGTCAGGTTTGCAAGGCTTGATAGAAGACCCTGTTTTGTTTGATAAAAGTTTAATACCATATCATGGTAACTTGGACAATTCCTATTTCTAAACATGTACAATTAATCATACAGAACAACACATTTATGGACCTCGGTTTAACGTCTAAACAAGGTAAAATACCCTTCAGTGATGCAAATCCTTTTTCTATCAATTTGACTTCAACAAAAGCAATATCGCTTGCCACGGCTTATTTCAAAAGCAATGAGTGCAATCCTGACAGGAAAAGGGCTTTTGAGAAACAACTAAAATAATCTGGTTTCACCATCACAAGTATTTACTCTGCAAACGTAGTTATATCCAGCAACATTTCTCATTTGTTGATGTTACACAACAACTGAGAAATCTATCCCCAGTTCACAAACATTTCCTAAAACTGATATTTTATGCTACAAGAACAGGGATCTTTACATCTTTAAAAATTTAGGGATAGGATATGGTGTAATTTAATCCAAGACTGCTTGTGGGACACTGCTGTGTGCAATTGGCTGTGGAATTTCTCCCACAAAATACAAAGTCAGTTCACTTTACAGTATATTCTGTGAAGTGCTTTGAGATGTCTTGACGAGTTGATAAGGCGCTACATCAGATGCAAGGATTATTATTATCATTAATTATGATTAATCTAGAAATGTATCTAAACATTTTAAACGTTCAAGAAATCCTCAGAAATTTTGCTATTCATTTCCTACCTCTGGTAAGGTCGAGATATTGTTGTTCTCAAGGTTAAGTTCATCCAGTTCACTGCACTTGGCGAGTGACTTGGGTACAGCTGACAGTCTGTTGTATCTCAGACCTAAACGACTCAGACTTGACAGATTACCTGCAGAAATATAACCATTAATAGTATGAACATCAGGATCACGGCTAGAAACATTGCATTTTTTTGTGCGCAAGCCAAGGCTTACAAAGAAAACATTTTCTTTTGCACCGGGTAATGTATCCCTTTAGTAAGAAACAGTTGGCTGATGTACTAAATTCTAATTACATTCCCCCGCAACATCAACTTGAATTCTCTGCTGTGCAGTCATTTTACTTGAAAGATAAACCACAACCACAAGAAAGCTGCTAATTTTAAAACCACTTGTTTCAAATGTGTTAGCAATTTATTACAAATCATCTCATAAAAATTTTGTACATTTTATACAGTAATTTAAAGGAATACAGGAAACCTCGTTATAGCGCAGTCAGCTGGGTTCAATGTCTCAGAATCTTCATTATAATTAGGCTTGACAGTTTCTGATTTTAAAGTAAAAGTGCAGATTATATATAAATAAATGACCAGAAATTGGGTTCACAGTACATAGGTTTTTTTAAAACATACTTTGCTTGCATGTTTGTGTTTTAACATTTGCAAACATCAAAGAAGATGAGAGTCGAAAGAGTTACTGGCTCCCAGAAAACTTTCAGTAAAGGAGCATCTCTGCAATCTAGAAAAGAATGAAGAGTTTTCAATATAGACCAAGCGCAAAGATAAAGGATTATCAAAGCTGAATTCAACAATGGATAAAATACTACTTGGTTTATTCACTCAGAACCTTTTGTTTGGTCAGACAACTACTTTGAGGTTTTCACATTTATTGAGCAGAGTAAGGTTATCTTGCTCTACAAAGTACCCATTTCTTAAAGTGTTTCATTAAATGCCACAATAAATCACACAGATTTGATGCACTGCTCCATTCAGTCAATAAAATTGCAAAGCGATCAGTCACACAAATTACAGTTTGTGGGAAGAAAGGTACCTTATGCCTGAAGGTGTTAACATGGGCAGCACTTTTTCTTACTGCAGCATTTACTTTCTTCGGCTTCATACATACACCCGAAAAGCACGATTGCCTGTTATGATTTAACGCCACTTACAAGTTATCATCGACAGAGAGATTAAAAAAGGCGCAAACTTGCACTGCCTCTCTTCAACCAACACTTTCAAATGCTCTGAGACGTAACCCTGCATGGAAGGTGCTATATAAGTACAAGTTGGTGGAGGTGGTATTTCAAATGCTGATTTCCCCAATGGCACTCAGTGGCTCTGAGCAACTCAAGAGAAGCGAACCTGGAATCTCCCCTCCATTCCAGCCACAGGGAAATTTGCAAGCATAGGTGGGAATGTACACGTGAACCTCTCTCTCTGTCTAGTTTGAGCATTCTTAAGCATGGCAATGGGTTTGCAATTACGTCACACCCCCAGCTGATCAAAAAAAACTAAAAGGTTGCTACCGGAGGCGAAGGGAGTGACCTGATGAATGCATGTGCGTTCTTTATTAGGAAACCTGGTACAATGCTGCTTTGCAGTTCAATGCAGAGATTTGACAAGCCAATGTTTCACAAGCAACTGAAATGTTTTCTTACCCTCAAGTAGCTGCAATGGTTCATGGCATTTGAACAAGTCAATTGACTGTCAGCAGGTTCCAACTCTAAACGTGCACAGGCAAGCTTTTGTTAAATGTACTTTGTTTTGCCTCCCACTCGGCTGGTCATAAGCTACCTTTCCCTCCTCCTAACTGTCCCAAATATTACAAAATGGAGAAGTCTTTAACTCGGGGAAATCGGAGATAACCTTACAATCAAGTCCGATAGAAAGGATTTTCCAACAGAGAGTTAAAGAGAGCAGATAAATTCCTTCTAGAAACTGGAGATTAATGATGCTTGAAGAGGCATTTTTGGCATTTTTGTGAAAGTGAATGCAGTGATCCTTTAAAGAACAAGTTTCTAAGTGTAGAATATCATCTGCCCAAAAAGATAGACATCATAATGAAGTCAGTCAGGTTTGGAGGCTCGTAGCCCCCCATCTGAGCCAAATGTTTCGGGCCTTGAGAAAACCTGGATTCGTTTTAGTATTTCTGTTTCCAAATGTGGAATTTCATCAAGCTCCTCAACTTCTTGTGCATAACAAAACACTGGGAGTAAACATTTCTTTGTAAACAACCTGTGCTTTGGGTGGAAGGTTCCAAGATTCAGCACTAAACCAGCTTACCCAGCCGTGAGATGGCATACCTCCAGGAACCAACAGAAAATCAAAAAGCCACACTATAGACTCTAGAAACGCAATGCTACAACTGTGTTATTACCCAACAGCCAGCTGTTAAAGTATCGACTGAAAGCACCTCTAATTAAGTCTTGCTAAAGGACTACCAAGGATAAATACAATGAACTGACTATAACATTAATCCTTTTTGAAAATCATGTGGCTTTCACCTCAAAATCTACTTATCCCAGGAAAGTTACAGTACACAGTTTGAGCTTGTAGAAAATACGGGCAAGTTAAGCCCTGAGCTCAGAACAGGCCAATTTGTCGAAACAAATGCAAAAGTTAAACCATCAAGGATTGAAATATAGCACACCACGTAGTAGAAATTCAAATAACTGACTTGATATTGTTTGTGCATTTCAGATATTCACTTGGTTTCAGCGGGTAAAATCATAGTTCCCTCAAAAAAAAACAATTACTTAAAAAAAAATCACTGGATAAAGTTTGCACGGCGACACACACTTTAATTTTCTAATATTAAATCACGTGATGAGTGAATTGACCGTTCTACATTTAGCAGCTTAAATATTGTGTAATAATGCACAAAACACACTAGAAGCCATTTATCAATTAAAATTGTCAATGGTTAAAGGAGGCCAAAGTCATAGAAGCCATTTTCTTTGATGTTACCTCCGATTAGAAAAGCCACAAAATAATGAAGGTACAAGCGCAGGAATGTTAGAAATGCAGAGCAAGAGTTATTCTCAAGGACTTGGTGTCTGCCTCACTTGGTCTCATGTCAGGATATTCTAGGGAGTCCTAACAAAATCCGTCTTCCCTACAATTTGCGACTTACAGTTAAGTAATTCATTATGTGAAAATGCTAGTTGAGAAATAAGGCAAGGGACGAAAGACAAACAAATGCAACAGAATACAAGTGTGGCAGAAAGAGGAAAATGTGGTTTTGCAAGAGATTTTCAGCATTTAAAAGTATTAAATGATTAGACATACAAAGAAAACCCTACCCATTTAAACTTCAATTTCTATCGATATGAAATGGTTTAATTGCTTGTATTTTTATTTTCATTCTCTGGTTTGTATCAAGCTGCATATTACACTAAATACATACAAATTGTTTTAAAGCACACACAATCATTGTCGGCTTGATATGAATATCATGCAGTCATGGTATTTTATGTGAGATGAGCCTCACCTTGAGGTGTACATTTCTCAATAGCTTTCAGAGTTTTCACAAAAAAACTAACTTAGATAGACGTCAATGTGAGGCAGCCAATGCAGTAACAGGTAGAGCTGCACCATGTAAACAAACCGCATGAATGCACGTCATTCTCGCCAGACTGAGTGAACGTATCAGAGCAAACTTCGGAACTTCCCTTAGTTTTATTAAACTAATTTTCAGGATTGTTGTGCATTGTGATGGAGGACTCGTGGAGTCCTGTAGCTCAGTGGTTAGAGCACTTGCTTTGCAAGCGAGAGCCCTGAGTTCAATTCCAGGCAGAGGGCGAAACCTTGGGCAAGTTTCCTTACTCCACACAGAGCCTAACAATAATCCCTCCAAAACCAAAAACAATAATAAAATTGGTCATTTTCAATCTACGACTGTTTGTGGGACATTGCTGTGCGCAATTGGCTGCCGCGTTCACCCACAAATATACAGTCAATTCACTTTACAGTGTGTTCTGTGAAGTGCTTTGGGACGTCCTCCCGACGTGAAAAGCGCTATATCAAATGCAAGGATTATTATTATTATAGTTTTGAGTCAGCAGGATCTGAATGATTTTGCTTCAACAAGAACAACCTGGATTTATATAGCGCCCAGACAGCGTCTCAGAGCGCTTTACAGTAACGGATCCCGGGGCTGAGCCAGGGGGAGAGGGAGGAAGGTGACCAAAGGCGCGGTTGAAAAGAAAGGTCTTCAGCCGAGACATGAAAATAGGAAGAGAGGGGGCAAGGCGAAGGGAGTGAGGAAGGGAGTTCCAGAGCCTCAACAACAACAACAACAACAAGATTCCATTTATAAAGCGCCTTTCACGTCAGGAGGACGTCCCAAGGCGCTGCACAGTTGGGTCATGACCCGAGCATTGGGGGAAATGGTCAGGGTGAGGGGAGGGAGCGAGGAGGGGGGAAATGTCAGGGTGAGGGGAGGGATGGGAGGGAGCGAGAAGGGGGAAGAGAGTCGAGAGGGGAGCTGAAGGCTCGGTCAAAGAGAAAGGTTTTGAGACCGGCCTTGAAGGAGGAGAGGGAGGAAGCAAGGCGAAGACACTGGGGGATAGAGTTCCAGAGCCTCGGGGCGAAGTGGAGGATTCGGGGGACAAGGAGGAGGCCAGACCAGGTGGAACAAAGGCAATGGGCACTGTTTTGAGGAGAGAGATCAGAGAGGTAGGGGGGTGCAGAGGAGTGGAGGGATTTGAAGACAAGATGAGAATTTTGAAGTCAATCCTCTCTGGGACAGGCAACCAGTGGAGTCTGGAAAGGACTGGGGTAATCGGGGAGCGGAGTTTGGTGCGGGTGAGAATGCAGGCGGTATAGTTTTGTATAATCTGGATTCTATGGATGGTAGTGGAGGGGAGTTCGGCGAGGAGGGCGTTAGAATAGTCCAGCCGAGAGGTGACAAAGGCATGGACCAGGGTTTCAGCGGCTTTCAGAGAGAGGTATTGGCGGAGACGGGTGATGCGTCGGAGGTGGAAGAAAACGGTACTGGTGAGGGACCGGATGTGGGGAACTGGGGGTCGCAAAGAGAGGTGGGAAAATAGAGTTGGGTGTCATCCGCATACATGTGGAAGTGTACCCCATGTCTGCGGATGACGTCCCTAAGAGGGAGTATGTAGATCAGAAAGAGGAGGGAGCCAAGGATGGATCCTTGGGGTACCCCACAGGTAACCGGGTGAGAGCGGGAGGAGAAGCCGTTTTTGCAGATGTACTGCTGGCGGTTTGTGAGGTAGGACTCGAACCAGGCGAGTGAGGTCCCACTGAGGTGGATGACTGTGTCGAACGTGGCAGAGAGGTCCAGGAGGACAAGGAGGCAGAGGGAGCCCTGGTCACAGATAGAGAGGATGTCACTTGTGAACTTCAAGTGGAACGAACCATTAAAGGAAACTCCAGAACAATCTACAAGGAATATTGTGTACAAAGGTTAATCCTGAAATAAATGAGCAATATTTAAATAGAAAGTCCTTCAAATAGACAATCCCCTCCTTTATAATAGAACAGTCATAGTAAAAGTAATTTGTACATTAGCAATTACAACATGAACTAGGTCAAACAGGAGGCAGAGGGATACAATGAGTTAGAATACCACTGTACCAGAGTTCCTCAAGCCTGGTCTGGTTAGATGGGATAAGACAATTTGTTCTGTTCAGGCTTTTGCTTAAAATGTCTTCGAGTAATCTCAGGGCAAAATTTAGCTGCCTGAGGATACAAGCAATGCTGTTGTATCCTCAGTATATAGCTTGGGAACATGACATGTCAAGCGACTGCCAGGATGGTGGAAGGCGAACTAAATGGAGCTTGGTCTTCTTTCGCCAGCAAATTTTTATGCTTTGCGAAATGAGAAAACTTAAACAGAAGTTACAGTTCAGCACTTTATACAGTACAGTAAGAGAAACTAATTCTATACCAAGGCTGTTGTCTATCTGATCTGGATCCTGATGCTGGAAGCTGCAAGTAGTAACATGATTACATCCCTTCCCTGGGCATAGATATCCCTCAGCAAAATGAGTGTAACACAAAAGAAAAAGACAAAAGCCAATCTCCTTCTCCACAAAGCCCTCTTATATACCAAATTACAGTATTCTCCGACTATCCCCCATAACCACTAAAGATAGCCCATCCTGTCATCTTCAGAATTAAAAAGGTTTACTCTATAGTTTAGCTTTTGGATAGTTTACTGGGGTTAGTGAAGTTAATCAGGTGAGAAGTTGATTAGAATTTGTGGTTTCCTTTCAGAAGTCAGTCACTTGAGTACAGATTGCAGTCTTTCACCCAATCTGTCAATGCTGGATTTAAACAAGGGTTCCAGAGGTGAAAGGTACGTGTTTCACTCATGTTCCCACCCAATCCAATATCTGCTCAACAAACAAAAACATAGCCGTGCAAAAACAAACGGCAAAAATAGATTCTCTTTCCCGCAGCCCTGGCCCATAATTGGCTGCAAGCTGTTGTAATCAAGCCTCTAGACTGCACGCCGACCATTAATCCTCTTAGAAAGGCATATGGCTTTCCATTTATAAATCTTAATTGGAAAGCCCCCAGCAAAACATGCAGCCCACAAAAAGGTAGAAGTACAATTTGCACTTTTAATCCTTTAATTTCACTAATCATTTAATTACACCAAACACTTACTGCTTAATATTTCCCCAAAAATCCAGGTGGGGAGAACAATATTTTTGTACAGGATGAAATACGACAACATGCATTTCTATCGAGCCCCTCAGACAGGGTAACATCTCAGAACGTTTGGCAGTGGCGGAGCTCGACGCTGAGCCAGGGGATGTAATACACTACATGAGAATGAATAGTTTGTCTATCTTTGAGAAGGCTTTCGTCAAATTAAGCACCATTAAAGATACTGGTTAGACTAACGTTAACCTGTATTGTATTCAATACAGAATGTGCACATGGCTCAATACCCTTCAGTGGTGCTGCAGTACTGCAGTAATTCAACCATCTGGTGGTGGGGGCGGGGGAGCAGAGCACAGGAAAGAAACAGATAGAGAAACTACAGTATATCAAGAAATTGTGTTGCATGCGATGGATGACAGCATTACATTTCACCCAAATCCAAGTTTATATCCCTACTGTAGTGAAGAAAATACAACAAACAACTCAGAATTTTATCAAACTGCAAGGCTTTTGCGAGTCACCTGGGGTTTTAAGAAAACACTGTCAGTGCAATAGCAGTCCCGAGGGTAAGATTTGTTGAAGCAATAACGCACTGATGAACACAAACTTTTTTTTGCATCAATTCCAATACGAAAACTTGCATTCTTAATAGAGGTACTTAGACAATTAAAGATTACATCTCGTTAATTGATGACTTCCGCAGTACACAGAATTACAGTAAAACTGTTCCAATACCATCCAACAAAAGGTTTAGACTTTTATCACAATGAACGTTCTATTCGGGCATATACCACAACCCAAAACCAACTTGAGACCTTAACCCGTATATTTACTGGACAGTACATTTACTAGTAATCAGATTCTGAAAACAAACGTCATGGAATGCTATCTTATTTCAGGTTAAATGTCATTATCAACTTTTATCAGTTTTTAATCTTTTCACTTACGTCAAGCAGCCTCCAGCATGTCGGTCACACACGTTATTTTTAAAAATCATTTACAAAGAGGTTAAACTATAAACTTAGCTATCCAATATTTATAAATTGGTCAAGCTTCACTCTTCAGGCTGAAAGCCCCTCAACTAAATTTCACCTTATAACTCACCAGGTTAGTAGTCCACATCAAATCATCTGACTATTCATTTTGATCAGTTTTGAACAAACTTTAAGACATTTTATCCACTAGCACAAATATACATGTGTGTGCTTTCAACCAAATGTTAATAAACTTGATCGATTATTTTGAGTAAAAAATAAAGATTTCAAATTAAGCTAAATACGGTTTTAAAATCAATTATCATTTATATTAGCATCCCTGTCCTAATCTAATATGAACATTTCCATAACAGCATTTGTGCAAAGGTCACTATGAACTTGTTTTGAAATTAGTTATGTGGTCTTAAAAGATTTATATTACCACAATATCAATCAGAGAGTACAAATTTTCATTTGGAAAGGAGATTTAAGGTTATTCAAATATAGACCAATTAAACATGAAATACAGGGAATCTAGTCTACAAGAACTGCCTGTGACATGGAATAGAGGTTGCCTTACTGTTCAGGTCAGATTAATGCTTCATTCAGCATTAGAATCTAAATTGGATGCTAAAACTACTTTGCTGCTCCAAATCAAAACAATCTATTTTAGACTGGATTTGCAATTGGTAACATCTCCAATCTTAGAATGCCACTGCAGCATAAGGAAAGAAAACTACTTTAGAAGCCACTTACTGTCCCTCTCTAATATGTCTCAGACTGGCACTGGCCACTGTGAAACAGCATCAGCAATGTCTACAAATCTCTCTGTGCAGGAGATATTTCGTCTTGTGACACAGTGGATCCAGGAAGAAGCAGGGAAAGAAAAATCAGTCTCATTGATATACTTTATACCAAACAAATGGATATATTAAAACATTGGAAACAAACAAACTCTTCTTATGAACATTAAAGAACCTTAATGGAGTTGAGCTCTGGCAAGTAAAGGGCAGAAATAACCACCGATGAAACACAATTCGCATCAGTAAGTGAAACCTGCAGCTGTGTCATAGCAATGAAACAATTTCTATGGTTAGAAAATAGGATAACCCTACATATAAACACGCAAACTTGATACCTTACCTATGGTTTCCGGCAGGTCAAGTAACTCATTATGCTGTAGGTCAAGGTTTGTGATCTGCGTGCAATTACCAATCTCTTTTGGGAGGTGTTCAAGCTGATTGTGAGCCACATCCAGTGTTATGAGGCTACATAATTCACCTGACAGAAAAAGAATTGAAAAATATTAGAAAGATGTCGATTCTGAAGTATTCTCTGTTGATGCAATATGCTAAGAATTTCCATTCATTAAACATTTACCAGAAAATACGTGGCCCACCCACCGCCTGCCCCCAAAATGCTATTCCCCACAAGCGTACGAGCCCTCCCCTTAATAAATTATGTTTTTTTTATTAAAAAGGAGACACCAAAGGAGCCACTCTTTAGTGGCCAAACACATCCAACACAAAGGGCACACTTTACAAGTCATGTGGAAAGAAAGGCTAAATGTATGCTGCCTTTAATGGATTAATAGTTCATAGAAATGACATTATCTGTGGACTAGTGAATCTGGTTATGTCAGACATTAAACAGCCGAGTGCGGTCATACAAAAATGTTTGCTTAGAAATACACAGCAACTCCGCTTCACACTGTGAAACATTAGCAAATGTAAGGATTATTATATCTGATTAACAAAGGCAGGGTTGTGAAAAAAGTCTTATATCAACTGAAATTAGCAGCAAAATGTTACAAACCCGTTGAATTTGGAAATCTTGAAGAAGTTATTGTTCTATGTAAATACAACCTGACAATCCGTCTAATTTATTCCAGCACTGTTGCTGTCCTATTGCAATATTAACAGCAAGTAAATAATTTCTCCTCGGGCATAATTGTCAATCTTCAAATGCTTGGCTCCATAAAGTAGCTTAACCAACCTGAGAAGTTCCAAGCCATACTTATTTTGTCCAGTATCAATGTCAAGCATTTGTCAGTTTGTATTCTACTGATAGTGTCGTTATCCATAATCAACAGCAAGACGACGACGACAACAACAGCAACAAAATTACATTTATAGAGCACCTTTCACGTCGGGAGGACGTCCCAAAGACCATGACACCGAGGGATTCCAAGTTACAAAAATCCTACATTTAAGGCATAACTCAAATTAAAACTGCCACACAATCAGAGAGCAATGAGATGTGTTGAAGGAAGGCGACATTTGGATCAACTAGCAGAAAATGCTGTGTTGGGCAAAAGGTATTTCCGTGCAGTGTAGTTAGCCAAATACATTGAGATATTGTTAAGAAAATATGGGTTAAAATTGAGCTAGTCTTAATTAGAAACCCGAAGCTTTGAACAGGCCTCTTTAACTACCCGTAACTCTTTATGAATTAGGCATTTGCTTTTTTACTGTTATCATATTTCTCAAGTTTATTATTTTTCGAAAAAACAAAAGCAACCTCTGTATTATTGGTTATTCAAGTTGTCTACTCAAAAGTGGAATCAGTTTGTAAGAATAAAAGGACGCGGGTAAGGCAGTGCTGGAGAGAATTAGACAGATCTTCTAATTTTCAGTTCTGCTACACGAGTTAGGTTCAAGCATCGACATGCTGGGGTATGCACAGAAAGCAAATTACAACCTTGAAATAGATAGGAGCAGAACTGCCCAGGTGGTGAAAAACAGCAAAGGTGATGGGAGGGAGGCCAATACAGTTTTACGAGGTCTGAGTTTACGAGCACCTTTTTTGAGCAACTGACCATGTATTTTTCTCTCCAGATCACAAAACCACATTTAAATTAATGAACTAGCAGATGGTGCCTTGATCCAGATTGCAGCTACGTGCTGAAGTACAAGCCCTGAGTGATGCTGGAGCTAGAAAAGCACTGTTGATGCCCAATAAAAGGAGCTTCACGCCATCTAACCTATGCTAAATTGTATTTCTGCCTAGATCAGTAAGAATAAAATATGATGTTCCCTAGCGCGTCTGAATTTGGTGGTTAAAAGCGGAAGTAGAAATACTTTGAGCGCACATTACTTCCCTTTTTATGCTTTATATTTGCTGAAAAACTGAATATCCCACAATTTCAGGCCAGACTAGATTCTCACACCCATTTAGCTCAAGTTAGCACAGGCTCAATGAATACCACCATCATGTCAGCAGAGAATATTGTACTGTATAGATGAAGCTGGCAACCATTAGTTATCCACAACCAGCTACAGGAAATTTGAAATAGAAACATTACAGCCTCGCCTTTCCACTGAAAATAGATTTGCCTTTTGCTTTGTATCGAAATCATCATGTTTTTGATGTGGAGATCTGCTGACAATGAGGCATTTGAATTTCCCCCCCCTTTTTTTTTAAGTTTTTTCTCCCCTACACCACTCCTTCTGCCAATGTCACTTAAATCAGCCACCATGAAAAGTGCACAAGTGGTGTGTCCAGCAGTTCTTGGTTACTTCCTACCATGTAGGGAAAGTTTCTCAAATAGCTTTCCCGCTGCTTTTCCAGCCAGGACCATTAGGGCTTTGGCTTGCAGGGTTAACAGGAGCTGAGTGGGATGATTCCCTGCCCCCAATGACTGGTCTGCCTTTCCAAGTCCTGCCAAAGAGTCAGACTGGCTGTGCTGTCACCAACAGAGCCCTGGAATAATAATAATAATAATCCTTGCATTTGACATAGCGCTTTTCACGTCGGGAGGACGTCCCAAAGCGCTTCACAGAACACACTGTAAAGTGAATTGACTGTATATCTGTGGGCGAACGCGGCAGCCAATTGCGCACAGCAATGTCCCACAAACAGTCGTGGATTGAAAATGACTAATTTATTATTGTTTTTGGTTTTGGAGGGATTATTATTAGGCTCTGTGTGGAGTAAGGAAACTTGCCCAAGGTTTCGCCCTCTGCCTGGGATTGAACTCAGGTCTCTCGCTTGCAAAGCGAGTGCTCTAACCACTGAGCTACAGGACTCCACTGCAGAATACTGCGGACCCTCCTGGCTCAGGAACCGGACAACTGAGACCGCCACAGTGAGCTGGCTCGATTCCGACATAATCAACACAGGTTTCTCATAGCACAGCCTGGATACACAACTTTGTGGAAAGACGGCATAGACACAAACAAAAGCTTATTCATCCTACAAGCAGTGCATGAAAGCCCCAGCATAAAGCTACAGCACTTGAGTATCTGAAGACATTCCAAGATACACCTAAAGACACCAAATATATTTTTAAAAAAGTAGCCTGAAAGCTGCACAATTCTGAATAGAATACAATTAAAACAGTTTCTCAAACTTAAAAAAACCTCATGAGAGATTCTGCTGAGGCACTGATGGTTACTGATTACTCGCGATGTTTAATATTTTCTGCCAAAAATGTCAGAAAATGAAGTAGAGGTTCAAAACCAGGCAGTCTGTTTTCATTTAATTTTTTAATACACCAAGATTTCTATTTGACAGAGTAATCTGTTGGATATGCATTAGTCCTAGACAGATGGGAATGCAGGCATTAGTAGGAATCAGATCTACCCAACGTAAACCACAAGCATCTGATCTACTGTAGTTGCCTCTACAAAATGTCTGTTCAGTGGTTTAAATTGTCCTTCATATCTGCCAATATCTGCCAGAAACACAGAAAAACTTTCTGTTCTTCATTATTTCCAGAATATCTTGTTTTCTTAGATCTTAATAATACAACCGTAGAACAAAACAAAAATGACAGAAGTTGGAAGAAGGGAGGAGAGCTTCATTTATGTGGACACTTCAAGTAAAAATGAGAAGGAAATAAATTCCACATCTAATTCAAAACCCCAAATAGCACCAATGGCCCCTTGAATTTGTTTCCTCCCTTATAACTGTCCAAACTTTCTATGTTAACAGCGGCAACAACAACAAAGTTACATTTATAGAGCGTCTTTCAGGTCGGGAAGATGTCCCAAAGCGGTGAACAGTCAGGTGTCGGGGCCTGAGCATGGGGGGGGGGATGTTGTAGGGGTGAGAGAAGGCAGAGAGGTGGGAGGGAGACCAAAGGCACGATCGAAGAGGAGGGTCTTGAGACCGGCCTTGAAGGAGGCAAGGGAGGAAGTGAGGCGAAGGGACCGTGAGATGAAGTTCCAGAGTGTGGGAGCAGAGAGGCTGAAAGCCCGGCCACCGATGGTAGGGTGGGTCGGGCGGGAGACATGGAGCAGACCGGAGCCTGATGAGCGGAGAGCGCGGGCAGGTTGGTAGGGAGTCAGCAGGTCAGAGAGGTAGGAGGAGGCAAGGCCATGGATGGCCTTGAAAGTGAGGACGAGGATCTTGAACTCGATCCTCTGAGGGATGGGGAGCCAGTGGAATGGTAATAGGTAATAATTTAATAAGTTAATTACTTAATGTAATAAGTAGGATATTCTATAAATGAGTAAAATCACAAGAAAAGATAAGCAACCCCAACAAGTTTTAATTTTGTTACTGCAGACCTCTGAAGAGTTAATGGATTGTTCTGACAATGCAGTTCCTCTCACTAGTTGGAGTTAGCCAACTAACTGCCTGCTTCGGCTACAGCTATTGTGTACAGCACATAAAATAATTAACTTGTTAAAGGTTATCATCTGTAACTTTATTTTTTAACATTAATAGTAGCAGTAAACGACTGTAAACAGTAATAATCCACAAATGATCAAAGCACCTTTAATCCAAACAACGTAAACGGCAATACATGTGCTCCCTCGTGTAAAAAGCAACCTAAAATCCAGAGGAAATTTAAGTATAAGTATAAATTTAAGCTGCACATGTAATAAATAGACATACAATTGCTCACAGATCACAGGTGTGGCAAAACAGTGGAAGTTTCACTAAAGGACAATATAATGGACATACAGTAAACTCCTGATAACATAACAAGGGAAAAGGGCTGAGCGATGAGTTATCTGGAGTGGCGAGTTAGGCAAATGTATAAATACATAAATAAATGTGGCCGGGATACTGACAGCATGACGACTTCAGTGATAGTGACAAGTTAAGCCAGGGTCGATTTACCAGGAGTTTACTGTATAAGAAAGTTGTACGAAACCCTAGTTTGTTTGTAATACTGTACTTAAATATCCATACTTAAACCAGAACAGCTAGCAGATCTTGGATATAAAGCATATGTTTTATTGTCTTAATTCTATATGGTCAATAATATTGATAAGTTACTGTTCCAAAAAATATTTGCCAAATTCAAACTAAAACTTATGGAGTATGGGTGAATGGTGCTTTGGGAGCCCTTAATTGCGTACTATATGATTCACTACAAGTGACGCTCAGATTGGTATAACTGGTTTGTACAAGTACAAAGTGTTTTAATTACGCTGCCAGCTAAGCGGTTAATTGAAGCAAAGCTTTGCAGGTTTAATTAAGACCAAAAGAGATGCCTCCCTTTATTACATAGCTTTGTGGTGCAAATATATAAAATCCTCCATGGGAAATCATTGTTGCGCAAAAACCAATTCCCATGTATCAAAATTACCGTAATACCATAGGTTGAAGTTAGCATTGCAGTAATTTAAAGTTTAGTTCTTTTTTGGGCAGGGGGCAGGGAAGAGAGATTTTTTTTATTAAGCTGTAGTTTAGTTCCTTAAACCCAATCTGGATATTGTGAACTTGTTGTAAGAAGACGGCGAGTGTGTAGTTAGGAAAAAGTAGTTGGGGCTTTTACTTGATACGCTCTGAAAAGAATTGTGTTGGTTGAAAAGCTTAATCTGAACAGAGAGGGCTTCCGTTCAGCACATCTATGTATTAGACTGCAAGGGATCAAGTGGATGTTTCAAACCTAAAATGTTTGTTGATTGATTTCAGTATGAAGAGCATTGTTGAACTGACCAAAACATTGAAGGTATAAACAGTCGAGTCAAGCTTTTGTTCAAAATTTAAGGCCTCCAAACATCTACATAACACTTCAGCATTATTAAGGAATAATTGATGTCTAAGTAGAAATCAGACCAACCCACACCAAACCAAAATTTGCATTTAGCTAAGCTGCTGTACTTTGAAAACCAGTTTTAATATGGGAGACAAAATTGGCAACGAGGTTTTAAAGTATCAGATAGTGAAATACAGTCATCACTTTTTGATACAATTTTATTGAAATCTGAATCAATCGATCAGCACAATAGTGAATACAAGTTTGCATGAACCCCTCATTAGGAATGGGATACAAGAGGGCATGTGGAGTCCTGTAGCTCAGTGGTTATAGCACTCGCTTCACAAGCGAGAAGACCTGCGTTCCATTCCCGCATAGGGAGAAACCCTGGGCAAGTTTCCTTACTCCACGCCCCTCGGTTTACACCATTTTTAAAAAATAATAATTTGGTCACTCAATCCACGGCTGTTTGTGGGACACGGCTGTGCACAATTGGCTGCTGCGTTTTGCCCACAAAATATACAGTCAATTCACTTTATAGTATATTCTGTGAAGCGCTTTGAGACGTCTCGAAGACGTGATAAGGCACCATATCTAATGTAAGGATTATTATTATTACAAATATGACCAATGCATCAACTTCATTAAACTCTCCCTCGTAACGATTACTCAACATTATTTTTTGCCATTAGCTGGCGACTACGCATTTTATTTATTCCATATTTGTGTCTCACTCACAATAACATAGGAAACAATTTGTTTATGAAGTGGCCAGATAGAAGTTGTGTTGGAAGAAGAGTCAAAATAGGAAGCAAGTAGAATCCTAGAAATCATAAAAGGTCTTTCAGCCCATTGAACCTAAACTGGAGCTAACTCATCCACTGGAGCTAACCACTCCATTCCCAATTCCTTGCTCTCACCTTTTATATTCTTCCTTTCAAGGGTTAAAAACTTTTTGAATTTTGAAGACCTCAACTATCTGGCTCATTTCCACTGAAAGCAGATCCAGACTTGCACTTGATGGATGGGAGGCAACTTGCTCAGGGGGTGTTGAAAGAGACCTAGAGGGGTTAGTTGACTCATTGCTCACCATATCCAAAAAGAGAAACGTACTGCACAAACCTACTTTTCAAAATAAGTTCACGTCTCCAGACGTCATGCTCAAGCTGTGCAGTGCTCCAGTTAAGCCTCATCCGGAGAGTTACATACAATAACTATGCCATATATCCAGCTAAGAGAGGCTGATTAGAGAATAGCAATGAGTATGTGAGGCATGAGCTATAAGGAACGATTAAGTAAGTTTGGATTCTTCAGTCTTAAAAATATACATCTCAGAGGAACTTTATAGAGGTATTTAATGTACGTATTGGGACAGGAAACCAAGCCTAAATTAATGCTTGCAGATCCTCCAAGGCAGCAGCACAGAAGGGCATGTGAAGGGCAAGTTTAGGACAAGGCACCAGGAAGTATGTCCTTACACAGAGTAAACAACTGAAATATGTTACCATGGGTGGTTGAGGTCTGGGACCAGATTAAATTAACATCTTCTGGAGGACGATGGGGCTGATAATCTGGAAGAATGAGATGTGATCTCGATTGGAAAGGAAGGATGTGAACATTCAAGCAGAGACTGTAACTGGTTACGTACACAAGCCTCCTAATATATGCCATCGAGGCTTACACATGAAGTCAACAAGAACAACTGACATTTGTATCGTACCTTTCACATCGGGAGGACATCCCGAGGCGCTGGACAGTCAGGGATTTGGACGTGAGCAGGGGTTTGGGATCAGGAGAGTTGAAGGGCAAGGATGGTAGGGGGTAGGAGGGTGACCAAAGTTGCAGGCAAAGAGGAGGGTCTTGAGACGTGTCTTGAAGGAGGCAGGGAGGGAGCAAGGCGAAGAGACTGTGGGATGGAGTTCCAAAGTGTGGGGACAGAGATGCTGAAGGCCCGACCGCCTTGTCAAGGTACCAGAAGCCATGTAGCACCCATGGACCTGTTACCGCAACTGGAGTCAGCAGTTTGAAAAAGGGAGAAAACATTTGGAAGATTTTTCAAAACATAAATAAGGGTACTTTGTATAATTGGAACATTAAATGAGGCATTCATGTCGTTCAAATTGTAACTGCTGAAAGGAATCTAGACTCAAAACCCCTATATAAAAGGTACATTTAAATAAATATTACTTCCTATAATTTTAGTTGGACAATCGCATTTGCAATGCAGTGATTTACAGAGAACCACTACTGCAACATCAGCTGACTTGGAATTGGTCAATGGCAAATAAATTAAACTGGTAAGTAGATCATTGGAAAACAGGCAGTGCTTTTTTTTAAAATGGGGATTAGATGCATGACTAATCCTTATTACAGTAAAACATCTTTCTTCCCTGCAACCTTCACATTCGTGAAAATATTTAAAGCTGAATTCTCAGCACAGATTCTGGGTAAAGGTTCTAATTGAAGAATCTTGCCTGAGAATGATTACATTCCAAATGCATCCTTATAATAATATAAAAGTAATCCTCGCATTTGATATAGCGCTGTTCACATCGTCTCGACATCTCAAAGCGCTTCACAGAATAGACTGTAAAGTGAATTGACTGTATATTTGTGGGAGAAATGCAGCAGCCAATTGCGCACAGCAGCGTCCTACAAACAGTCGTGGATTGAAATTACCAATTTATTATTGTTTTTTTTGAGGGATTATTATCAAGCGGGTGGAGTAAGGAAACTTGCCCAAGATTTCACCCTGCCGGGAATCGAACCCAGGTCTCTCGCTTGCAAAGCAAGTGCTCTAACCACTGAGCTACAGGACTCCACAATATAATATTTCATGCTGACACATTAATTCCTCTCACACCAGTTCTGCTGTTTCACAACAATTCACAATAATTTTACATTTATATAGCGCCTTTCACATCGGGAGGACATCTCAAAGCGCATCACAGAACCAGCTGGGAACCCGCTGGGGGAAGCTGAGGAAGGGGGGCGGGGGGAGAGGGAGGGGAAGATGACCAAAAGCACATTCATCACAGTCTATGAATGTTGGCAAATTATTTGACAATTAGTCTGCGGCCAGAGCTAGAATTGCAGCTAAATCAATTGCCAACATCTTGTCACCCGACATCGCCCCAATCTGTCTAACCATACAATTTTTTTTGGCAAATTTTACTTTCATCATATATCGATAGCTTTGCTGGTGCTCATGGCATCACATCCTCACCGATACTACCAGTCTTCACAGTTCACACCATTCCCATGCATTGCAAAGAAGTAAACGTACAGAGAAGAGGAACATCTGACATGCATTATGAAAACTCTGGTTGTGGTACGCAGGGAGATTACAGATGTACAAGGAGCACTATCAGACTTGTTCTCGTGTTCAAACTGGCTCTAAACCAACTACATAAATACATTCAACAACAACAACTTGTATTTACATAGAGCTCTTCACGCAGGATAGCATCCCATTCATGCCAAGTGAGGCACAAAAATTCAATTGCCTTAAGCTTTTATGAATGTTCCATCTTTTATGGTGATGTGGCATTCTGTAAATTTGGAGCTCCAGAGAAAATCAACATGTTGAAACACTTGCAGCCTAAAATCCCAACAATGATTCCACAAATACCTAGCAACTACAATAAAAACTATCAAGAAAAATGTATTAATGATATATTGAACAGGAAATCCACATAAACACACCTACCTATCTCAGCAGGTAGCTGCTTAATTTTGTTCTCTCGGATACTCAGCATTGTAAGTTTGGATAGGTTTTTGATGTCCTTCTCCACAGTAGTAATACGGTTAAACCTCAGATAGAGAGTGGTAAGGGAAACCAGTCGGTATACAACCGCAGGGATTTCTCGAAGTTTGTTATGCCGTAGGTCAAGCATTCGGAGTTTCTTCAAGTTATCAAGAGAGTCAGGCAAACTTGTGAGCGAGTTCTCACTTAGTGCCAGTGTGACCAAGCTCACAAGACATCCCAGTTCTGCTGGCAAACACTGCAGCTTGTTACTATACAAATAAAGTTCAGTTAATTGGGTCAGTTCCTTGATTGATGTTGGAAGCGTGTGAATAGACCTCTTGGCCAAGTCCAAACGCATTGCATTCTCTTCACGGCACTTGTTTAACTCTTTCACCACTTCGGCATTGCTTGATTTTTTACGCCCTGGCGCTGGATTTGGACGTTTTATTGTATTGTCCACTTGGAATTGCACTCCGGGTTGTACTCCACTAGATTCCTTCTTTCCATCTTTCACATCTTTCCCTTTCGTTTTGGATTCTTTCTCTTTGCTTTCTTTTCCAAAACTACCAGAGGCCTTGGTATCCCTTTCCTTGTCTTTGCCCAAAGAGACTTTGGGGTCCTTTTCTTTGCAGTCTTTGTCTTTACCTAAAGTACTACTCATAGTGGCTGCAAAGTAGGTAGCCAAATCATTTAAGTTTTTTTTCAGAAAAACAAGGAACAAATTCTTATCTTCAGAAGTTGAAAGCTTTGAATTTAAAACATTCTAGGAAATCAAGTAAAATGGAGCAACGAGTGGATATGGCCCCAGCTTGCACATTTGCCATTGATGCACATTGTCTTCAGTTCTGGAAAGTAGCTATCGTCCACATGCTGAACGTCGATAGTCCCCGGTTTCATTTGATCAGTCCATTGCTCCTACAAGAAAACAAGTACGAATAAAGGTTAGCGCCTGCGATTCAGTTGTATATCACAAAGGATTTCCAGCACATCATAAAGCGGACACCTTAAACAATTTCTTTAGTGTGAATATTTTCCCAATGAGGAATGGCAATACTGAAAATACTAAAAGACAGCATTGGAAAAAATTCTCCCAATTTATGTGCTTACATCGATGTTCTGGTTGTTATTATTATATTGGGCACAGAAGAATGCAAGTTCAGTTGCTGGTCAGTGTTGAGTAAGATGATCTTAACTTACTCCATAACTATAATACTGTGCAACAAAGAAAACAAAGTGCGCCAGGATTTCTGCATCTGATCACAAGGGCAGAAAAGTGCCTGCGTGTGGATGTCAGCTAGGATACCTTTCATAGGCGTTGGACAACTTGCTGCAGCATCCAGACTCACACAAAGTTCTGCACCATTTCCAAACAAAATGTATTCTTCGTGAACAAATTCAGTTACACAGCAATACTCAATACAGTAATGCTATTACAACAGACACTGTCGTAATATCTCCTGCCCTGTCTTTGCTAACAAACCAGCAACTAAACATACAACACTCACTCGACTTCTAGACAGTGCTGGGCAATTACTCTCAGAAAAAGTTTTTAAAATGTTAACAGCAACTTTTCACAAGCACTCTTGGAAAGCGTACATTTCCAATACTAAAGGCAATAATGTCTGACGTCAAAGCTGTAACTCAGTTATCAATTCCCGGTGTCTGCAAAACTATTTTTAAAAAAAATCTAAGGGCAACAAATGCATATCAAGCCAGCCAGCCAGCATTTGGCTTAAGAGTACTTTGAAGCATGTCACGTATTGCCTTCTGTGTTGAGGAACGAATGGTTGATGCGTAATAGACCAATTAAAATTATACTCTAACCACTTTGAGGGGTTTCTAAGTAAAAGCAGGGCTGTTAAAAGGCTGACGTCTAACTGTGCTCGTAACCATTGCTACTGTGGTCAATGTGTAGAGCTATCTTCTGGATCGCAATAGGAATGTTCTGTAGCAGTTTCAGAAATGATATTGTAATATCTTTCCCAGTATCTTCACCTCAAACAATTCACCCCAATGGCTCCAGCATGTTCACTGGCAGCTAAGCTTTTCTGGCTTCTTTCCATATTTCACTGCGTAAGCAGAATTTTTTAACCTTACGGTTCCCAGGTTGAAAGTTTATTCAACAAACATTATTTGATGATCAATGATAAAACGTTGCGCGAGTTAACAGCTTGACTGAATTGAATTTAAGTTGTTCTTGAAATCATCCAAATTTACTAGCGGTGCTAAGTGGATACAAACCAAGAAATTAACAATGCATCTTTTAAAGAGTTGTCTTCTGTGCCATTAGAATTCTGCACAATCAGGCATTTATACTATGCTTTAATCAGCTATTATGCGTAGTCTTAGACAGCACCAAAATACAGCCAATGCAAATTAATTAAGAAGGGAGAGAAATCTGGACTTCATAAAATATTCTCTGGGAAACCAAGCGTACTCCTATTTTACACCACAATCATACTGAGCAGCTGAAACATAAAAATACAGTTGCAGCCTTGAAAAACAACACAATGTGACTGTTTTTGCTTAATAAGGCAGTAAACACTGCAAACAGATTTGGGCCTAAGCAATGGCTGGAAGAGACTTTACAGACAGAATACACGTTGTGAAAAATACTTAACTGCAGTACCATATAACAGATTTTATTTTTCAATTAGCAGTAGGGTTGGTTATTTCGCAGGGTATTCATTTTTCTGAATAGTTGATCATCTAAGTTCTGCAACTTTGAATGTTTATTTGTCTAATTTAGTCTAATACTGAACAAGAAGTTGCAATGCCTAATGTGTTGTTATTGCTTGGTAATTTAAGATGTAGAAATATGACAAGTGCAAAGGAATGATTATATAGCTTAGTTTTAAAAAAGGTAAAATTGTCACGAGATATAAAGTCCAGAAGGATCCATGTTCAAATCCTAGTCTGCGCTGAGTAAGCCTGGGCGCACACTCCCCATTACTAAAGACTCTGGCTGGAAGTTGTGAACATCAGGTGTCATGGATGTCATATGAGGACAGAAAGAAATGCAGCTGTGAATTCTTCTACTTCCCTCTCCCACACTGACCCATTGCAATATATCTATAGCATCCTTTACACGCCACATTTTTGCCCATTTGTACTGCTGATGCAGCTTTTCAGGTGTATTCCTAGGCAATTGGCGGTCTTTCTTAGGACAGCTGCCAGTGTACAAATAATTCGTCTTAACTGGTACAGTTATATCCAATCCTCAAAAACAAACCCCAAGTGACGATCGGAAACAGTGTGAATTCTATAGCAAATCCACACCGTGGCTCTTTCCCTGATAAATCGCAAATGTGACAATGAGTGAAACGTGCTTATACAGTCGACCTTTCTCTCAATTGCTATAACAATTGATTCAGTTATGAAAATTAAGCACAAGTTTACCTTCAGTTTTTTTTAATGTTATCCCAATTTCTAAACATTTTTATGAACTATTATCCATAGCAAAACTCTCAATCAACGGCATTTAGACTGAGTACATCGAATTTACACGGGTCAATTCATGCACAAATACATGTAGTCAGTCCATCGAAGCCCTCCTATTCTTTCATGTATTGTAGTTGAAGCCACCTTAGTTCTTTCCAGGCACCTTGGCTTATTAAGCAATATTAAATAAATGTAAAATAGTTTTCTAACATAAAACACACCGGATGCATTCAGCTCGTCAAAGAATGTTCTTTATTTTGTCAAAGAAACAGGAGTAGGCCATTCAGCCCCTCAAGCCTGTTCTGCCATTCTGTAAGATCATGGCTGATCTGTACCTCAACTCCAATTACCCGCTCTTGCCCCATATCCCTTGATACCCTGACCTAACAGATATCTATCCACCTCAGTCTTGAAAATATCCATGGCTAGTTGTATACTATTTAAAGAGTTTTGGCACTCAAGTGCTCCTAAATGCTTTGAATTGTTCCCCTGAACAAGGAAAAGCTTGAAGACAACATTCTGTCTCGCATTTTACTTTAGCTGCCACTTCCTCCCTCCTGCTGCTAAAACCATCGGGCACTATAACTGTGTGCTTTACTGGTAAAATGAACGTGCAACCTTTTGAAAGCACCAACCGTTTGCATGCAATGTTCACCCCGGGTTCCTGAGTGTGCCGGCCACAAAAACATTGTGGGTAGAAGCAACTCACGCACCAATTCTATTATGCTTTATAACAATAACCCTTGAATTTGATATAGCGCCTTCTCGTGTTGTCGAGGTGCCTCAAAGCTTTTCTTTAGATAAAGATAAATCTGCCTGATTTAAATTTTTTCTTTTTCATGAAGTTAGACGGATGATAGGTTTATTTTTCCTTGATTTGCTTTGGATTACCACAAAATTTGGCAACTTCTGTATAAGGCTGCTACATCCTGCACTATGTGAGTGAGCGGCATTAGAGGCCCTGCCAGCACACAGCATGCTCAGGCGACCTTACAACAATTTTCGATCAGCCATTTCATGGTTCAAAACATGTTAGAAAATGGGAAAAAAATGTTTACGACGGGAAGTAACTTTCCTTGATTTAGAGAAAAGTTGAAAAAAAATCTGGAATCTCGAATGCTATCAAATAAAATTGGAAACCGGCAAGCCGACTTGTCTTCCAAAATTTAATTATTTTTCAAAAGGTTGTGGTTTCAGCTTCACATCAGGACTTATAGCCTCCAGTGCACTGCTGGGGAGTGCTATATTATTATAGGTGCTATTCTTAGAGGTGAAATGAAGATCCTGTCTTCTTCAGGTGGATGTTAAAGATCCCGTGACACGATTTAAAAAGGAGAAGAGTTTCTTCCAGTGTCCTGGCGCCAACTCTTCAGATAAATTGGTCATTTACTTCATGGACCTTGCGGAGCGCAAATTGCCTGTCGCCTCCATCTACAAATACAGAGTAACTAAACTTTAAAGCATTTCCATGTGCTTTCGAGTTGTTTTGATGCGATTTGAACGATTTCAAATACACTTAAAATACACAGCCATTTCACAGAAACTACAGTATATTAAAAATATAGCTGAGAAAGTGTGCGTAGACTATATTTAAAAAGTACTGTAATTTCCTCACAGGATGCAAAAACTGGGAGTAACACAACAACAAAATTACATTTGTATTGCGCTTTCACATCGGGAGACATCCCAAGGTGCTGAACAATCAGTGTTTTGGATGCGAGCCGGGGGTCGGGATCAGAGAGGGTGGAGGACGACCGAAGGCACGGTCGAAGAGGAGGGTCATCAGACGGGTTTTGAAGGAGGGACTGCAGAATACAGTTCCAGCTCCACGGGAGCAGAGTGGCTGAAGGCCCGCATGCCAATGGTGGGCGAGGCAGAAGACGCAAAGCAGGCCAGAGCCCGCTGAGTGGAGGGAGGGGGCAGGTTGGTAGGGGGTTAGGTCGCAGAGGTAGTGGGGAGCAAGGCCATGGAGGGCTTGGAAAGTGAGGACTGGGATCTAGAACTGCATCCTCTGTGTGATGGGAAATAAGTGTAGTCGGGCGAGGGGATAGGGTTGCAGATCCTGGTACGGGAGAAGATACGGGCCGCAGAGTTCTGGATGATCTGCAACCTGTGAAGGGCGAAGTTGGGGAGGCCAACAAGCAGGAAGTTTGCATAGTCAAGCCTGGATGTTCTGAATGTGTGTACAAGGGTCTCGGCGGCCTATGGTGTGAGACAGTGGTGGAGCCGAGTGATGCTGCAGAGGTGGGGAAAGGCGGAGCAGGTGATGGCGTGGATGTGAGGTACGAAGCACATTTGAGGGTCGAACAGGATTGCCTCCTTGAGATATACAGTGCATCCATGAAGGGAGATGCTGTAAACGCCCGAGATTTGGAGGCGCTGACGGGAGCCAAGCAGGAGGGCCTCTGTCTTTTTGACATTCAACACCATGAAAAGGCCAAGTTACTGACATATACAATACAGGACTATC